GGTTATCACAATAGGTGGTATCTTTTCCTTCTTGGCATTTAGCCGGGAAAGTTTACTAGAATTATTTCCTGAATGATGGATCATTCTAATCATCCGTGAGCAAATCAAATTAATTGCTCAAATTAATTTCATCAGAAGGGGAATCAAGAGGTTGCCCTTTTCTTTTGCGCTAAGGCAGTAAATTTTTTATCCAAATCGACTTCCAGGCAGATTACTATAAGAATCTGAAGGATCGAAGAGGAATTTTCCAAATCGATATCCAAGAAGGATTACCTCGGGTAGGGTCCAAACAAGGATCGAAGAGGAATAAGATTCAAAAAGGTGCTGTTTAAATTTGTAGTAGATTTAGGTATTAGCAACACTTCCTTCAGCAAAAAACAAATAGATCCGCATGGCAAGAGAGTACGATGCGGACAACGGAAATTGGAAGTGGTTACCACAATAGGGGGACCTTTTCCTTCGTTAGCGTTAGCGTTAGCGTTGTTATGATATACTTCGTAGATTGGATCTCTAAACAATCTAAACAAGAGTAACAGAAGCATGACTGTCACTATTCCCGGCCACGCCCATCTTTACCATAACTAGAGATAGGGAAGGAAATGTTGATGTAGTACTTACTTAACGAGAGGCCACCGACTTAGCGACACCCTCATAAGTGCTACGGAGTTGGAGGGTTGGGTAGGGTATTCGGTTAGGATTTACCTCAAGCTGGCGATGCAACCAAAAGTATGTATTGTTTATTTGTTGTTTATTTAATCTCTCGATAGCCGGCTATTGAAAGAACATATTCATTTTGTTTAGTTATCATGAATTTTAAGAGTCATGACGGAGAGCTTGGGATTAAACCCATGATTTTCTGCTCAGTAAGCAAAAACGATCCCTCCAGGGTCATCGAGCATCTCATAATCCACAGCACTTCGCGTCAAAGTACGAATATATAGATGAACTATCTATTATTGAATGACTTTTATTTACGATGATTACATGAAAGAAATAAAATATAAACTACAAACAAAACGTGAATAGGGGAACCTTTTCCTTCTTGGCATTAAGTCGGGAATGTTTAGTGGGATTTTGTCAGGATGATGGATCATTCTGGTGGCTGAAAAACGTTTCTCCAAATCGTCTTCGAAGCAGATTACTATGAGAATCCGAAGGATCAAAGAAGAATTTTCTTACTCTATATTGGATTACCCAAGAGGTATAAACAAGGATCGAAGAGGAATAAGAGTAGATTTTTTTCTAGAAATATTTAACACCAGAGATGCCGCGGTTCAGATTGGCTTTGTTACCTCCGGTGTGGTTACCTTTACAATTCTGCTAGCAGAATCTTTCTTAATGTTGGTAATACGGGATCCACTAGCTCCACCAGCCTCCACAGTCAATCGAAACTCCGAGATCGTTCAGTACATACAATGAGCTACGAGTACGGCTGACTCATCAATCATCAATCGTACCGAGTGGTTTTTCGGGAGACACTTCTGCGGTTGCAGACGCATCTACAGAATGGCAGGACCGTTCTGCATCGGGTTATTGTTGACACCATACATCAATGCTGCAATTGGAACTGGATTCTGCAATTCTCTTTACATATACAATTTGCATTCGTTCCGGATCCTATGGCCATCTGAAGTAAGCAGGCCTATTCTTCGCGATATGGGGACTATAACAAATGTGTTTGCGTTTCCCCCAAAACATAAATCCTTCCGAAACTATGGAGGTCCATCCTCAGGGCGCGGAGAGTCGCTTCAATTTTGCAATCTTTTATTATGATTTGAAATAACCTCGCTGGAAAATCGACCCCCTTACTTTGAAAAGTAACCTTATTTATTTATTTATTTATTTATTTCTTAGCAACGCTTGGTAAAATGTCAACACAAAGCAGTGATGCTGTTTTATATTATATTCTGTGTCATACTTGTCATCGTGCCGATCAGTGTGCTACTGTGCGCTTCGGCACAGTGCGCAGAGTTGAATACGTCTTGTGGATTTCTTTCATTTTAGCTGGCCTTTTCATGCGGTTGAAATTTTTGGCAATACACCAACATTTCAGTCGCATTCTGTTGAGAAAGTGAAGAGATTTTTGGAGGGTCGGTAATACTTACATTGCCCCGTAACGTGGGTAGATCACCTTTTAGTGGTTCGTTACCGAAGGGTATAAATAGCGAGACCTTTCAACAAGAGTCGGATCCTTGCGATAAATGCAAGAATCGAATACTTCATCATTTTTCAAAAGTGATGTAGTAATACGACATGCACTAAAGTAAGGACACGGGATATCGATCAAATTACTGGTCGCAGTGGTGTTAGGTCCCGAATAGGGGATAAAAAGTAAGAGTTTGTATCTAAGACACGACCGTATATTTGACGTAGGATTACGAAAGGTAGTTATGACGTCACAGCAAAAGTGTAGTAAATATTAATTTGATTTCTCATCTCGTTATGAGTGAAAAAGATCCCCAAGCAGCACACTTGTCACTGAACAGTTGTGGTTACTTGTATGCCACTTATTTCAGTCACAATCAAGTTTTCGCAACTTATTACGATGGACGTGTGCTGCTTGGGTCGATAGGTTGAAATTCGGAAGCAGTTTGAGAGTTCTGTTTTTGAGGTGCTCTGTCGGTGTCCATGACGATATGTCTTGGATACAAGCTTCAAGTAGCTTTTAGTTAACTCTTTCAGCAAAAAAGGTTATCTTCCATTTAATTCCACTTAATTAATTTTGGTATCCATGACAGATACGTATTTCGACTACAATGTGCAGTCTTCATCAGTGTCATTCCCACTAAAGAACTTATCAAAATCTAACCCCCTTAAGTACTCATCCCCTAGGTAAAAAAGTCAAGATCATAGGTATAAAAATGAAACTACAATGTGTTGAATCGGAACCTACCTAACTAATAAAAACCAAACGCATTGATGGCCCAAAGTGGCTCACGACGAGCAACTGAAATCCGATCAGTACCGGTACAACTTCTTCCTCCTTATTCGGTGGGTTGCAGCTCGCGCTTCCGGGCAGCCTTTCGTCGTGTACTGGAGAACAATCTACAACGCGCCGCGCCGAAAGCACTGCTGCTGCTGATGATGATGATGACCACTTGACACCACCACTCACGCGGTGATTGAATAAACACCGTTCGGTGAGACTGGAGTGCATTCGATTTTTAAATCTGTGTTAGGGAAAGCGCTTTTCGCAGTCAATCGGTGATAATTTTCATTATTATAGCAACAGTTGCACATTCGTGCAATTTTCAATACTGACCTTTCGAAAATTGATAGTGTTCATTTTAGCAAATTCGTAGATGACATTCCAATCGATTGGCTTGTTTAGAATAATTATCCATCCGCTATTGACAGAGTTTTAAGTGGTAAAAACCTGACCACTTTTCGTAATGCGTTCGATTTTGGTTTTTTGAAATTGCTCCCCCAATATGTTGCCGAAAGACGGAATCCTACGTCAAAAAAATACTTTCATTTGTAGGGTCTACCTCATGTACAGTGTCGTCATTCGATTATAATATTGAACAATGAACCATAATTATGGAGCCCGAGTCTTGACCACTCTTCTTTCAACGCTTGGTATATAGAAAAGGCTAAAGATGTATAAGTCAATCTGGTGTACGACAATAATCGTTCATAAATCGCTCTTATCGAACTCATAAGTCGTGCCTTATGAAATTCATAGGTTTAATTGCCTTAATGTAACATCTTTGATTAAACGTACCGTTTACCATAACGCAGCGTGCTGCAAACCTTACCCTTTTATATAACGTTCCATTGATTTCTCTTGGATCTGCAGAAGATTTCTTGGCTTCAAAAAATGCGAGTCATCACATTCCTACCCATTCTTCAATTGACCTGTATTCGGAAGCGCCCGGCACTGCTATTACCTATTGTAAAGTTTGAAATCACTAGCTTTTACACGTTGATTTGCAAATACATTCAGTTATCCAGAAACTACGGAGTAGAATCCGTGGGAGGTCAATCAGGTTCATATTCAAGCTCAATAACGTTGTTTTATTTTACCATCCTTAAACAAAAAGCGGTGATAGGGCTATGGTCTAAGATTTATTGTTTGTAAAATACAGATAATGTTGTGCTACAGCAAGCTGCAAAAATTCAGTTTAACTAGATAAAATATTGGAAAATGAAACGTGTGTCGTTCTCAGAGAACTAGTTATGGATCCACTCACTCTGAAAGCAATCCTTTTAGCCTCTGGTGGTGGATTGCCGACAGTTTTCGAGGAATTTTTGACGTACCCTTTCTCTGCAAAGATAGTAGGACTTGGCGCCACCACTTCATCGTACTCCACTTTACTTTGTCATATGCTCCTGATATTGTTCCATGATCTAATGCAAATTTTTATATGTGTATCGACGGAAATAGGTTCCATGTGACGAACACCTTCCCCGGGATTTAATTTACCATCAACATAACATCCAGCTACGTCAAACATTCCCTCATATTTGGTTTTACTTTCTTTATTTGCAGATTTGCTGAAATGGAGAATATCAGAAAATTGCCAAAACTATCGAATAGAGTGTGATGCTTCCGAAACTGTGCCTTTCTTATAAGAGTTATATTTTAATATCTTAAACACAATAAATAAAATATTAAGTCTAACTGGATCATCAACGCAAAAACTGTTCTTGTCTCAAATGTATACAAAATGACCGACCAGGTGACGGAGCTAGCAATGAGTTAACTTGCAATTTAACAGAAGCTCAAAGTGAACAGTACTCATATTAAAGTAAATCAACAAACAAATACAAAACAAAAACTGAATTCAAAGTCGAGACCGAGAATCATGCCGAAGTGAATCAATCCTGTTGAGCAAACTTCGTCAAACAGACAGCAGAAAACAACCACACTCACCAACCGTGTAGTGAGAGCACTTCATTATGTAAATACATTTACAATTATCCATTAAGGCCAGTATTAAAGTAGTAAGTGTTGTGCAGCACAACCACAATATGAAAATCCCCACAGAGAGTGTCAACTCACTACCTGCGCTATGTTAAATATTGTTTAACCACTAAAATCGACTCGCATAGAAGAAAACAGCCAACGAGAATTGAGCATACAAAACAACACCTTAACCTTGCTCCTTCTCCTCCCGCCATTCGAGAGTAAGGCTCGGCCAACCAAAAGCCAGTGGCAAAGTGCGAAAACGGTAAACCATAAATAATTAATGAAACGTTAATGAGAGCCAATGGGCTACCTGACAAAAAGCAAGTGTGAAAGTAAAAGTGACACTTCCGTTTGACAGCTACCGCCAAACTCCACTGAGGCCAGTACATTACCAGTAGTATCCATGTGTGTATAAGTGCGAGTCCGTCCTGTCCAGTCACGATTGTCACGTGCCGTACTGCTGCATGATTAGCACCCTGGATTGGCACAATATTTAAATGCTGATAATTAATGCGCGAGCGGGTGAAGAAAGGAAAACAAGGAGTTGCTAGTAGAACTAGCTCCAGTACCCCGGACCTAGTGACCAATTAAGTGGCTAGACCCCGCTGACCACCCGCTCCAGTGTGTCCTAGACACGGAAAAGGGGTCACCCAGAGCTGCCCCGGCAGTCGGCGAAGTTTAGAATAATTTCCAAGTGCAAGTGCAAGAGAACGGAAGAGTTGTCGTACTGTGAGAGAGCTGAAAGGTGCCCCAGAACTAGGGCTTGGCCTTCTGGATTATGCTGTCAGCAAGCTACTCGGTCAACTCGGCTGGAGCCCGGTCGGTGTGTGATAGTTAAGGTTGCGCTAGTTAGTACCGGTGCCAAAGCGGTCTGGTGCGACCAGATTTGCAGTGATTGTGTTTTAACGTTCTTTTTTTTTTCTACTCCAAGAACCTCGACTCGCTGATAAGTGACTGCTGGGTGATCTTGCCACTATTACTACCCCCGGTGACTGTGGCGTGCTAGTTTGTGTGTATTTTTTTGCCGAGAACAGTGTTTAGTGAATTGGTTACTGTGTGCTGTTGTTGGAGATTGGTGGTCAACCTGACCCCCCTGATCGTAGAACGTGCGACGGCAGTACGGACCCCTGCACTAAGAAACGACTGTGACTGTTCGATTCACAAAGGAGAAGGATTATCATTTTGATACGGTGTACTGGAATTTTAATGGTTTACATGGTAAGTCCTTGATGATTAAGAATACATACATTTACTACATATGCAGTGGAATAATGGATTGGACATGTGTGATTGCATGTGTGCTTCGGTTGTTAGAAGCGGGACAAACTGTTCATTAGGAAAGTCCTTGAATGGAATTTAAGCTGATCGCATCTATCCATGTGCTTTGTTTATACGTAAGGTGTATCCCAAAGCATGACCGAGGTATATCTCAAATGTGAATGATTGACCATAACAAACAAACACATGAAGTTTCTTGTAAATCGGAGATGGTCGCGTCTGAAATTCAGTTTATTTTTGCTACTTGGCCTGAAAGGGCTCTGCAGAGCTTTCTGTTTTATCGGACCCACACTTAAGCAATCAGATTAACCAATAGCCGTTCCCACTTCACCCGTAGTCCTACTCAGTATTCTCTTATGATAAATTATGCCAGTTCAAAATTTTATAATAGGGGAAATGGCTCTAATGTTGGCCTATGGATCTAAGATTGGGCCCATTGCTAAAAATCTGCTATTTATCAATTTTATCTAAATGAACGCGTCATCGGGACGGTACTAATGGATGTTTTTGGTCGCTATTGAAAATTTAGTCGATTGCTCAATTTATGTAGGGGCATTTATGCCGACATTACATCCATCCATTTTTCCCCTACGGTGGAACAATTTTTTATCATCAAAAATAGCCCAATTTATGCCAATATTAAATTTGCTAATACAGTGGAACAATTTTGTATCATCAAAATTAATATTATGGTGGTAATATCCAACCAGTTTAATCCAGCATTAGATTAAATTCCGATCACTCAAGGTGTCAAGGTCAGTGTTTCTAAAAAAAAACACGGCGTCTTTTTATTGTCAATTTTGAGTAAACTAAAACACCTTGCTCAATTTTTATTTTAAATAAAAAGCCCATAAAAATGAGACCTTTTGAAATATTTTGAAACCATGGACTCTTTTTTTATACTCTGTCTTTGTGGACTTTACTGTTTGCAAATCAATTAAATGTGTAACGAAATAGTGCTAGGTTTTAAACGCTTATAATTTGGCCATTTATTGATGGATTTAAATTATTTTAATCTATTTGATTCATATTTGAAGATAGATTTGCTTGGTATAAAAAAATCTTGAAAAAAACAAACAAATTTTACGTCTTTTAAGTCTATGAGTACACGAGTTCACGGTCAATGAAATTAACTCAAAACTGAGTCTAATTTGACTCAAAAAATTAAAAAAAATGTTACTTAGCGAATGAACAGAACACCGTTGCATACCTAAAATTGTATTTAAACGGCGCTAATTTTGAACTTGTTGAACGGGTATCCATACAACGCCGAATGGTGCTACACTCAAAAAATTCATCACGTCATCATCATGTGTCTCACACTTAGTTTTGCGCTTATTGTGAAACACATCCATTTCATGTATGAATCTTATGCTATGAATCATGCCTGAACACTATGGATTTGAATTGTGACACACTTGGATTATATGTGTCTTATTTGGTGATATCAATAGCTTTGCACATCGTAGGTCAATATTCTACAATATTCTACTTTATCGACTTCTACTTTACCGACTCTAAAAATGAATCGAAAGATATATAAAAAAGAACTGCCAGAGGCCATAGCTTACACATATCTTTTTAATGGGTCTGATTTAGGATTTGATCATGGACTGTTGGGGTGTGTTGCTGCCGGAGTCTTCGCTCGATCTTACTGTACCACGGTTGTTCTCATAAATGAGGTGGGTTGATAGGATGAAGGCACAAGTCTTGTTTTCGATGTTTACCTTTCTGAGCAAGCAATTCACAGCGCATTGACATGCAAAACACTTTGAATCCATCTGTTTTGAACAGTAGTGTGATTCAATGTGCAATACACTTGAGAAGATAGAGAAAGATTTTCGACATTTCAAAGCTTGAAACACTATAAATTAACGTGTATAACTCATTGAACCAAGGTGAAATACACTTATAGTAAATGTGATTGTGCATTTATTAAAATCAAGTGTTTAAACACTTCGATCAAACGTGTGGAATTTATTGAGGGTACGCAATGTAATGCAATTTTGAGATGAATTCGACTTAGGTATTGAGTTAATTTTATTGACCGTGTAGACTGGGTAATTTTTTCCGGTTTTCGTCATATTCGAGCAGATTTTTAGGGAAATTTGGACTCACTCAGTGAGCAACTCCACTTTCACGATTTTATGTGAAATGTTCAATGATGGTGGTTAGAGCTGGCAACTCTCCAGGGTAACCAGATATTGAAACAAAAAAAAATGTGTATTTATTTCCTACAAGGGCGCAAGGGAAATTCTAAATGAGTAACCACTTCCAATTTTAACATGACATCACTGGGTTGCGATCTACATCAAAGCTGTTCATATGCATAAGGCCTATTAGAAGCTGAACAGTTGAGTCCAGGTTTCGTCTTCCAGGTGACACTAGTAAATTTATTGCTTAACTTGACATCTTCTTCATTCCTTTATTCAACGTCGGTCTCTGTTCCGCAATCTAGTGCCAATCACCTACGGACATCGATTGCCATCCATTGACGGCAATCGAATGTGCAGGAAGGCAGCTTCAACATCTGCGTAGGATTTTGCACCCATTCAACACACATGGGCCGGGACCAACCGCTTTACTTCCGTGACGTGAAGACGTGACCAGAGATTTTTATGTCTCAGAAAAATCCCACCGACCTCGGCTGGGATTGAAACCAGACCCATTGGAGTGAGAAAGCAGTCACGCTTACCACTACACCACCGGTGCCGGTCATCTTGACATCTTGACTAGATAGAAGGTTTCTATCTTTCGAGAAGTTTTTCAAGTGAAAGAGACTTATTGTATGGTGTATATCACACTAGTATACTTTTCAACTTCTTAGGTCTAGTAGTAGTTGATCTGATGAATAAAACCTATTGGATGATTGACAGCTCAGTTCAGAATTCACTCACCATTTGACGCTAGTGTGCAATTTGACATCTTATTGTTCACTTTAACTTGACAGTACGACTAGATTGAAGTTTTCTATCTTCAGTTCTGAATGACAAGACCTATCGTATTTCACTCGAAAAAATCACTAACCACCAGTGCAATTTCATACTAATGGCTTGCTTAAGTCGACATCTCGACTAGATAGAAGGTTACTGTCAATACGACCTATTGTATAGTGGACAGCTCAGTTCTTAATGCTCACACCAGGCCCAGCGAGTATACGATTTAACGGCGCCGGTGGTGTAGTGGTAAGCGTGATTACCTCTCATCCCGGCAGGCCTGGGTTCAATCCCAGTCGGCGCCGCCGGGATGTTCTGAGGCATAACATCTCTGATCACGCCTTCCTTCGGATGGGAAGGAAAGCCGTTGGTCCCCGGTTCATGAGCTGATGGGTCGATAGGTAGGGTCCAGGTGTGGGAGCTGCCCTCCTGGCACGTCGGTAGCATTGGTGCTCAGCACGGAAAACAAGATCGACGGAAAAAACGAACCAAAGGAGTATACGATTTCACTTATAATTACTTGCTCTAACTTGAAAACTCAACTAGATAGATGGTTGCTGTTTTTGACAAAGTTGATCAGATTTATAAGACCTATTGAATGGAGAGAAAATGGCCTTACAAGGTTTGTTTACAAAATGGAGTTAAGGCCATTTCAATTGTTGGTCTTGATATGATAGAAGAAGCAATCTTGCGTCACCATTCATATAGACCAATCTACATTGATCGATTCTCTGCATTGACTCTCTCTTTCGTTAATAGCTCGGCTCCAAAATCATGGTCTGCTGTACTTATTGTTCAATAAGCTTAATAATACTTTCTTTTAACAGAATATGTAGGAAAACTATCCCAAAATAGGAATGCAGCCGAGTTGTTAACGAAAGAGAGAGAGTCGATGAAGATAATCGATCAATGTCGATTGGTCTATTTGAGCATATAAAAGGAATTGTTTTTGGACGGATTCTATGCGTTCCTCGTATATGACAATGTATGAAATCCATACTAGGTTACAGTAGTCCAGAATAGGTCTTACGTATGTAATATATAATAATTTAATAGTGTATGGGCCTTGAAAAATATAGCTGAACCTCTTAATGAAGCCCAACATACTATTTGCTTTAGTTATGATTGTATTACATTGTTCTACAAAAGAGACTATTGTGACTATCTGAAAGCAAATTTGACAGATTTCATGTGTCAAACACTTGCCTTTCAACCTCTTCTTGTATATAACAAGTACAAAATATAATTATAATAATTAATGATTTCAAAATTCAGAAAATCATGAATATATAGCAAGTGAGTGAAAGCTAACCTGCCCGTACCCATCAAATTCAGGCCCAAAACAATACTAAAATCAAATCAAAGATCAGTTCTGCGTAGCGTGATGACGGTTATACTACAAAACAATAATCAACCGAATTACATTACGTCAAGTGACAATTGACTGAATGAATATTTATCCAAATTGGTGTAACTTACATTTTAAGACAACTGGAATATTTTCGGTGCATAGGAAACATTTCAAAATCACAGACCTAGACAAGAAATTTAAAACCCGAGGTCCAGATTTTTTTTTATAAAATTCCGAATACAGGAAATTTATCAAGATGCTCTTTTACTAAAAAAAAAAATGTAATGAATCTGAGCAGTGCTGATAAAAATCATTTCTTCTTCACTCAAATACGCTGAAAATGAAGGCAACCTTGAAAGATAAACCGACTACCTGCATGAATTTAAATTTTGACATGATAACATGCTCTTGATCAAGGCAACCGCTGAGTTTCGAAGTCAACAATTGTTTTCGTTCATTCAAATATGCGTATTCATTATCGCCTGTTCTGTTGTCATATCAATATTCATAATCATCTTGGTGGGGATGATTTTAAGTATCAAATGCGAAATGATTATTTTCGTTTTACACACATATACCGATGTGGAACGTGTTATGTTGCTTTTTTTCAATCAGATCGATTATTGCCTTATGTAGAATTGATGATTATATTG